ATCCTTGATGATGCAACTAGAAGTTTAGATTTTGTTCAGATGACCATAAAACAAGACCTGACGGCTGATGGGTGGGTGTTTTGTCCCTATACCCATCAGGAAGAAACGACAGCAGACGAGGCAAGAAAGAATGTTTGGTTTCTTGCTTAGATAACTGAGATTATTCATGTCTCCAATTGAATTAAGGGATATGGGAGAGATGTAGGTTCTGAGAGTAGTCGAAAGGTTGAGTTCAAATTGAAATGCTAAGCTTGCAATGGTCGTAGAAACCTGATTACAGGGAGTCTATAACACTTGTATGTATTCACTTTCATTTGAACTTTAAGAGATAAGAGTCTAAAGTAGTGGTTCTCCACCTATTAGTCGTGACCCCCTGGTGGTCATATATTAGATATGTTGCATATCAAACATTTACATTATGATTCATAACAGTAGAAAAATTACAGTTAGAAGTTGCAACAAAGCCAGGTGGTAGTGGCAAATGCCTTTAATCCCAAGGAGGCACTCAGGAGGCAGAGGCAGATGGATCTCTGTGAGTTTGAGGACAGCCTCAGAGCAAGTTCCAGGACTGGCTCCATAGCTGCTAAAAAACCCTGTCTCAAAAAACAAAAAAAAAAAAAAAAAAAACAAAAAACAAAAAAAAAAACCTATCATTGTATCACATTGTATCACAGGGTTTCTGTATTAAGAAGGTTGAAAACCACTGGGCTAGAAGACAAAAGCTGAGTACCCTCAGAAAATAGACTGCTACTTTTGGTATCATTTTCTCCCAAAACTTATTGCAGACTTTCTCAATTTTGTATAAATGAAATAAGAGTAGTCAATAAATAATTTTGTTTCATCTCACACCAGGTTTATAAACTGAAGCTGAAATACTGATTCCTATGTCATTTACTGAAGATTTTCTAAAATGGGTAATTCTTGTTTTCTGGCCTATTTGACTTATAGTTCTTATAATATAATTCTCAGAAAGAACATTTAAAATCATAGGAATAGTTTATATTTGCAGTCTATATGTTCACAGTTTTATAAGACTGCAAATAAACTAATACTTTTAATAACAATTCGTCCTCCTCTTCTGCCACTCTCCATCTCTGTAACCATCTTTTTGTCTGGCTAATAAGCAATGAAGGTAGGCATCTGATAAACAATGAAACAATTGTTACATTGGGAGAATGTGCAGTATGGGTTTCGTAAGCCTCCATGTTCTGTTTTGAATACTGACTTTTTAAAAATACTTTTTATGTGCTTTAAGGGCTACTTCCTCTAGCTATTACAGGTTAATAAGCCTCACAAACCAAAAACTCCTAAGTGTTTCGGAGTCTGAAACTTTGAGGGTCATTTCTGCTCTCCAACATTTTTCAGATTCCAACACTTTCTGGATCTCACATCTTCAAATTAGTGATGCTCAGAGGTTAAAGTATGCAAATACTCCAAATTCCAAAAAGATCAGAAACCTTAAATAATGTATTAATAACATATATTACTAAATACTAATATATTAACATATAACAATTAAATTGTTCTAGTTCCAAGATTTCAGATAAGATACTCAGCTCCCAACTGTGTTAAATACTGTTTTTGTCTCCTTCACCATGTCAATCATGCAAACAGAGTATGTATCTCATTATCACACCTCACCACCAAGTTATATAGATTATCATAATGCAATATGGTTTTGAAGTGTTAGCAATATCCTATTGGCACTTCAAAGAATATGAGAGAAAAAATATTGTTATAACGGCCACCTATCTTAAAATAATTAAAATATGACACTCCTAAAGTTGTAATGGAGAATAGTGGTGCTTGCCTGTAGTCCCACCTGCTGGGGGTGGGGGTGAGGTGGAAAGATGGCTTGAGCCCCAAAGTGCAAGAACAGTCTGGTGAGTGTAGAACAGCATAGTGAGACTGTGTCGGGGGTGAGGAGGAGAAAAATTATTTGTTCACATTCCCAGAATATAGTTTTGTAAAGGAAGGTACACTTGTACTGAATGCCGGCCTAAAAGAGGCAGGTACGTTCCAGTGCAGTTAGCTGGGTAGCTGGTTCTCTTGTGAATCAGTAAGACACAGGTTGGCGTCCAGTTAGCACAGAAAAGGAAGATGAACAATTAGAAGTAGCTTCACCATTTGACTAAATTTCTCAAACATTCTTTTAAAGCCTTTTCACATTGAATGTAAAATTTTATCGGCTGGGAATGAAGGTAAGTGGCAGAGTGCTTGCCTGGGTTAGATCCCGAACACTTCACAAAGAAAAGGAAGGTCAGGCAGGGTAGAGAAAGCCCATAACCCAGCCACTCACGAGGCTGAGGCAGGAGGATCTTAAGGTCCAGGCCACCTGAGGCTTCATAGCAAGACCAAGTCTGTAGAAGCCAAAATAAGGTAATAGAGATAATCCGGGTTTTTTGTTGTTGTTGTTGTTGTTGTTTAATGAGGATAGTTGCAGCCAAGGCAGGGTTAAGAACTTACCAGCTGCACATCCAAATGTTCTCAGTTGTCCAGAGTTGTGTGTGTGTGTGTGTGTGTGTGTGTGTGTGTGTGTGTGTGTGTGTGTACTCTTGTGCCTGGCTAACTTCTAACACCTGTGGTCTTAGGGATTAAATTCAGGCCATCTCACCAGCCCACACATTAAGACCACTACACTTTCATCCCTACACCATTTAATAGAGCACTTTCAAATATTTTCCCTCTAGTCCTTTATTTTTTTAAAAGATTTTATTTATTATATATGCATGTATGCCTGCACACCAGAAGAGGGCACCAGATCTCTTTATACATGGTTTCTGGGAATTGAACTCAGGACCTTTGGAAGAGCATCCAGTGCGCTTAACCTCTGGAGCCATCTCTCTAGCACCCCCTCTACTCCTTCATAAGTAAATGGATGAACCCACAAACTACATTTTGGGGACTCATAGAGAAGATTGGGGTTCTAGAAAGGCATCTGTGTCCCATTCACCATGGGGTGTTCTACTTGCTGCATTCCCAGGTCGTCTACTGGAAAGAGGCTAATGGACTAACTCAGGGGATGACCAAGGCTCATCGAATTAACTTGTTATTTAACTTTCCCTGGTACATAGGGGGTAAAGGTCATTTTTGCTGTTTTCAGTTAAGAGTAAAAAATGGACTAACATGCTACTGTGAGACAATTATGAATGGTGCTAACAAAGTATGTGTAAATATATGTACACCTTTGTGTACATGTCATAGGCACCTATACACCACTTTGTAGCGTCATGTTTATATTTAAGAAAATGGCAAGATTCAGGCTATGGTTAAATCAAAATCTGAGGAAACCACATGCCCAAGTAGGTGGCACTTCATTTCTTTTTAAAGGTTTATTTATTATGCACACATGAATGCCAGAAGAGGTCACCAAATCTCATTATAGACGGTTGTGAGCCACACCATGTGGATGCTGGGAATTGAACTCTTAACCTCTTCACCATCTGTCCAGCTGGGCACTTCATTTTAATATCAATGATAAATCCCGCCTCATAGGTTGTCATGCCTCACCAGATCCAGATGACAGATGCTAAATAAAAGACTTCTAGGGATTTTTAGGTTTGTAAATTTGACCATATGCAAAAGATAAAGACCCACATTTGTTAGTAAAAGATTTTCCTCTCAAAATTTACGTGATATTAGACTAGGCTTTTACCTGACACTGAGTTATAGGCCAAGATTTTGACAAGAAAGGAAGAAATCTCAGTTCTTCATGAGACGTACAACACAGTCTTGGTGAAGACCGATTCTCCTTAGTATGCAAACTGGACGGAGATAATCTTGTGCTCTTCCAAAAACAACTAGTATATTTGTTTACATTTTCTCAATTCATGAGTTAACATGATAAGATTTGTTTATTTTAGCCTCCCCCCACCCCAGTTTCTCTGTGTATCTCTGGCTGTCCTGGAACACACTCTGTAGACTAGGCTAGCCTTGAATTCATAGATTTGCCTGCCTCTGCTTTCCAAGTGCTGGGATTAAAGGCAGGCACCACCAATGCCTGGTAATAATTTTTTAAATATTTGTGAATACAACTATATTTTTCATTGTTTAGCCAGTTTTGTTGCCTGCAAAATTACTCTGGAACAGGTAAAAACTGTCTAAATTGTTACTACAATTTCTTTCCTTTAGTCTGTACTTCATTCACTTCACTATCGACCTGGGAACCTAGCATTCCTCCTATTTCTCTGCAGTGTCTGCATTTTATTCAGCTATGAGAAGCCTCTCATGAACTGTCTAAAAAAGGACTAGAGCAATCCCTCCAGGCTTACAGGGTTTTAAGACCACAGAAAATTATCTAATCATAACACTTCTGGAAAAAGTAATCTGTGTTGTTAAACATACTTTGGAAATGAAACAACTCAATACTGCTCACTCCTACACTTCTCAGTAAAATTCCAAGTCCCTGTTTCATTGCAAACTCTCCACATAAAACATTTTACATGGCTTGGTAGACATGTAAAATAACTCATATATTTATCCAACTGCAGGTAGTATGTGTTATAGGTGCTAAGCCCTAATTCATACTGATAATCAAGAAACACACTATTGTTCTAAACTTGTTTAAAACATAATGAAGAATCTTGTTTTCCAGGACAGACTTCTAACACTTTCCTAGCCACAGGTGTACTTAAGAGGTGCCGTCTTTGAACAGAAACTTCATCAAAGAATTCCCAAATACTAAGATTCCTCATTAGAGATTTAATAATGACATTCACAAGTCAAACTTGAGCTGTTTAATTATAAAGTTTTACACATATATTCCTGTTAGTCATATTTTATTTGGTTATTCTAAATAGCCAAAATAATGTGCAACATACCACAAAAGTTAAAAATTTAACCAGTAGTTAAAAATCTTACAAAAACCTACATTCATGCAAAACCATACTTTCTTACTGCAATATATGCTATGGGGTTATAACTTCAATGGACCATAACTAATGATCTTTTGTTACACTTATACACTAGACAAGCCATAATAAAGAAAACAATGCTTAAAATATTTATTATAAAAGTGTGCTTTATTATAAGGAAATTTTAAATATAACCAACAATACTGAAAATAATGTAACTGGCGTTTAACAGCCTTGGTTGGAGTTCTTTATTCAACAGGCATTTGTTTGCTGTTCCATGAACCTTAACAGTCAGCTTATTCAATGCAACAAGAGAACTTGGAAAAGTGAATAAACAACACAAAATGAAGAACCAGGAATTTGGGTGGCTTTTTTCTTGTTTTTCTATTTTTGGAATTTTTCCTTGTTTAATACGTGGCTTTTGAAAACGTTACCTTCATGTAGAGAGAGCTCTTTTTCCTACAGACAGATTTTTAAAAAATAGTAGTATTTTAAAACACAACTAAAGCAATAGTTTAAATACTTTAACTTGTTTATGCATTATCCAATTAACATTCCAGCCATGTTTTCATGTACAAGTAGGACTATAAACATTCCCTTATAAGATCACAACAACCATAGATGAATTTCACATATATAGACACCTCTGTTTCTTGGAACGTGTTTCCCAAAATGAAATTACCCATTTAAAGGTGAATAACTGGTGAGAATTAATGTCTCTAGACATTTGGTCTTGGGGTCTGAAAGTCATGTAAAAGTATATTGCTTTGGTTGTATATAACAATTCATTGTATCTGGCATAAAAATAAGCATGTAAGCTATTTAAAAAAACCTAATAAAAATTTGTACTTTGTGTACTTTTAACTCTGAATTGACTTCCAAACTGAGGACAAGGCCTAATTATCATTAGTATAAACAGAAATTCCATTAATCATTATGTATGGCTTTGCTTATATATAGACTTATTTCCACCACGGTAGCAGAGTTTTTGAGGGTAGATTGGCTGATGATCAATGAGCTTGCTGGTTGGTGATTATCACAAGGGAAACAGGAAAGGGAAGGAGAGGAGAGGGACAGGAAGAGGAGAGGAGGGGAAAGAAACAAAACCATGGGTGCAGACATGTGCACAGGGCTGCAGTATCCAGACCACAACGAACAAAGCAGTATCCTGTGGGCATGTGGGTAGGAGTCCCAAACGATTTTTCCTAGGAAAGTTTTCCTTTTTCTAAATAATAAGATTCAGAACTTTTAGAGGACAAAGAAAATGTCAGATTAAGTTTAAATAGCTTTTAAAGAAATCTTTGTCACATTAGATGTCAAAATGCAATTTATAAAGAATACAGGGGTTGCAAAATAAAAAAGGAAGCACTCATACTATGTATTTGATGATGAGAAATGTAATTATGGGCTTGGCGGTGGTGGCATACGCCTTTAATCCCATCACTCAAGAGACAGAGACAGGTGGATCTATTAGTTTGAGTTTGAAGCCAGCCTGGTCTACAAGATGAGTTCCAGGACAGCCAGGGTTGCATGGAGAAACCTTGTCTTGAGGAGAAAAAAAAAAGAAAGAAAAACGCATTTATGATCTTTCATCTTAAAAGACTCTTTGCCCAATTATCATAATGACTAAGTTTTGAAGCCTCAAAAGCCACTCAATTACGTAGGCTACCCACTGACATTTGTCAAAGAAGTCAAAATGTACTTTATTGCAAAAATATAAAAATTTTTAAAATTGCATATGATGTTTCATGCCATTTTACCAATAGGCCAAGGCTAACAAAACTTATCAAGCCAGAAAAACTAGAAGATGAAATGACTGACATTTTACTGTATGATGAATGATAAAAAGAATGTGATGTCATGCTAGATTGCATGAGTCACGACCAACTTCTCTCTTAAGTGGGATAGTCACTAATTTGATATTTGAATAACTCAAACATAGACTGTCCTATGATTACATCTTTTAATTGTCTTCTTAAACATGTATGCTTTCAATATATTATATTTGAATAAAACGTTCAGTCAAATAATTTTATGGAATAGAAAGTCATTTTTATGAATATGTTGATTTTTCTTAAAATGAACTATCCATTAGAAAGTGATGTTAAAGCCTATTGACTATTAAATCACTACTGTTTACTGATACATTGTAAATGTTTTTTGTTTAAAAAAGGAAAAACCGGGAATCACAGAAAATGCTTGGCATCTACACAAACACATTCTCAGTGGACTAACCACTACTGCATAACTGTGTCACTATGCTTCTTCTGCTCCATACTTTGCTTCATGCAGTGGGCTCAACAATATCCATGTTTGTTCCAAACAGTGCAACTAATTGTTCTTCATAGGTGGCGATGTTCCTTTTCATAATCTCCATGCAAGGTCCCAAAAGCCTTTCAAATGCTTGCACATCCATGGCTAAGAGAAAAGAAAAAAATAAATTAAAAATGCCATTCCTTGCATGGCTCAGAAATTCCTAAGCCATTCCTTTCTACTAGGATGTTGCACTGTTCCTATATTAACAATGCAAGAGAATTTTAGGTAGATATAATAAAAATATGAGAAAAAAGGTTAATATGTTCTGCTTCACAAAGGAAGTAGGACCTTCTCTGTTTATCGTCTGGGATGCTTTGACAGCTGATGAACCTGTGGCAAAGCTGCTGGGAGGTGCCTGGTCCATGCTGAGGAAATGAGGGTCTAACATGGCTCAGTCTCAGAGCTCTCAAAAGTAAACAGAACTCCCGAAAAGTGCTACAAGAGTGTTTCTTCCCTTCTTTTCGGAGTGCATGATATCATGCTGTGAAGATTTTTACACATTTATACCTTTGTCTACACAATTCAAACTGGTGACTAACATAATGCTTTTCTTCTGCATCTATCAATATATTCATCACTTTGCTTGTCCGCCTCATGCATTTTCTTTTTATTTTGTGGTTTTGGTTTTGAGACAGCCTGGTTAAATAGTTCACACTGACCTTGAACAAACTGGCCTTGAATTTATGATCCTCCCACTTTTGGTACTGGAATTACACACAGTAGGCCTGGCTGTTTCATGCATTTTAAACTTGAGTTTATAATATATGGCTTAACATATCAAATTCTCTCTCTCAAATTTGCATAGGTTAAAAAGGTAGGTTTTATAAGGTTTTTATGGGACATTCTTGCATGGTATAGAAGGCACAATAGCAAAAAAAAAATTGACTATAGGCAAATGAACTAAATCTCAAAACAAGTAGCCAATAAATACATAAAAAATAGCCATCTGATAAATTCAGGTCACTACTACATTGAGATTTCCATCTCACCAAAGTCAAAGCAGCAATCACCAAGAAACAACAAAGGTCAGTAAGGTCTCTTGAAGAATGGAAGCCTTGTCCACCAGTGATGAGATTATAGATTAGTGCAGCTGCTAGGAAATCAATACATACTTTCCCCATTAAAGACTAGACCTACAATTTTATCCAGCCTCTACCCTCCCAGGCAATGTCTGGAGGAGTCAAAGTCAGCACATCAGAGAGAGATTCACCTGCCCGTGTATATTGCAGCACTATTCACAATAGCCAAGTTATGGAATCAGCCTAAGTATCAACCAAAAAATGGAAAAATAAAGTGCATACACACAATTCAGTGTTACTCAGCCACAAAGAAAAATAAATTGTAACATTTGCAGAAGAATGAACAAAACTTGGAAGTATCATGCTAAGTGAAGCAGACACCGTACATTTTTCTACAGGCGAAGGGGGAAATCTAAATAAAAACTCTGAAAGTGGGAGGGGCTCTTTGAAAAGAGCGGGAGACCATCAGGGTGAGTATGGCGAGTGTTCAAAGCACATGCTCCTAACGTAAGTGTTGTAACTTTATATAAGTAATGCACTAATTAAAGAGAAATCGTTTAAAAAGACTGTAAAGAGTCACCTCTGCATATCTATATACACATACAGATTGGACCCAAAGCTCATAAAACATTTACCAGTAAGTGATTAGATAATTTATCGTGTATGCATTTGCCTAATAGAATGTCAAAATTTGATGTATTAACAAAATTCCATAGTGGAAAATTCTTTAAAAACAGAAAACTCATGCAAATCAAACAAGAAGGAATTACAATAGTGGAAGCCATGGGGAGATGGTGATGACATGGGTGTGTCTTGGCTTTTCCTATATTTTTGTATACTTCCTGTATTTCTGCCACTTCCTTTAATGTAATTATTACAGAATGAGCAGCTTCTCACACGCCACCTTTGTCTTACAGTCAACAGCTTTGAGGAGAATCTGTCAGGCGTGTCTTCCCGTTCATCACAGTAACAGTTCACTAATATTGTACTTCCTGAAAACCTTTTACAAAGTGAGTCAGTCTGTAAGGAATATCCTGAGGAACCTTGTAAATCTTAAAAATCATGGAAACTAACCTATTGTTTTGTATTGTGAGGTACACGGGGAGAATAATTATGGTTGAATCGGTTTTTAAAAGTCATTTATGTTAGGGGCTGGAGAGATAGCTCAGAGGTTAAGAGCACTGGTTGCTCTTCCAGAGGTCCTGAGTTCAATTCCCAGCAACCACATGGTGGCTCACAACCATCTATAATGAGATCTGGTGCCCTCTTCTGGCCTGCAGGCATGAAGGCAGGAAGAACATTGTATACATAATAAATAAATAAATCTTTAAAAAAAAAGTCATTTATGTTACTAATTTCTGAACGATCTTTTTCATTACCTAAGTGAGTGATTTCTCAGACACAAAATCTCTGTAGATGCCAACTGAAAGTGGCATTTCTGTCATCCCAACTTCCCAGCAGAGTTTAATAAAGAACTTAACAACAACAACAACAACAACAACAACAAAAACCGCACCATTTTAGCCTTCTCTTTTGAGGAACACAAAGTATGGCATTTTCTTGACAAATTAAATGTAAAACTTTTAACTGGGAGTTCTTATTTCAATAATTAAAGTAAGTTCAAACCTTAATCATATTTCGTGAGGACTTCAGTACTTGTGAACCCAATAAAATGTCCCATGGGATCTGAGTGCCTGGACTGCAGACATAACCAGGCCTACCACCGTGACCCCTACCTAAACACTTCACAGTCCCAATGGCATGTGCAGACGCTGCTCTTGGTTTGTTAGTGACCAGGGCAAGCTCTCCAAAGTACTGTCCCCGAAAACACCGAGCGATTTCCACAGCACCATTCTCTTCCACTTCTGATTTACCCTGAGAAGGCAGTGAGATGAGTTACATTTAAATCTAACATCATTGAAACATCCTTGCTAATTGAGGAATTTAGGACTGATAAATGTTTACCTTTCTTTTCATAGTAATTTTCACTTCTCCAGATTCTACAATGAAAAAAGAATCTGCCAAATCTCCCTATTAAAAGAAAAAAAAAAACATAGTGAAAATGAAAATTCCATAGCTACCCTGAAATCATGCCCTTGAAGCGAACTTATAAGTTCCAGTTTGTAAGTGAAGTCATACTGAAGAGGCTATTTCATCTTCCACATTCCGAGGTTACAACTGATAATTATGTGGTAACATTTTTATTTTCAAAAACATTTGAAATACACATTCTCTACCAGAAAATAACCTGGGCTAGGAATCTTCCCCGAATGTTGTGCTGAGCCATATACATAAGAAGGTCAGCATGGCTGTGTAATCCAGCAGCACCCCCCAACAGGGTACGTCTGCATTCTGTGCGCCTTGGAAAGTAGCAGCATGCTCCCTGTGTCCACCAAAGTAACCCGCATTAGCACAGTGACTTGCCAGGAGTACCTGGAAGCATTCAGAAGCAAAGGATGCTGCTGGCTCTGGGGTTTCCACAGCCAGTGTACTTCCAGGCTCTGAAAAGACTGCTGGGGCTGGAAAGTCGGGTGCCATGTCTAACTAGAAACTTCTAATGCTCCTCCTCAAACATGCTAGGGAAGATTTTTGTTCAGTCTAAGGTCCTTCTGGTGAATCCAGAGAAACACAAACATTTGAAAACCTCTTGGGTACAATTAAAACACTTAGAATGAGATGGTATCACAACCAATCTACTCAAATGCCTGACTTTATCTCTAGGACCTCAAACAACACCAAAGATTATATCACAAAAATAAATAAATGTTAGGCTTAGATTTCTAAAATACAGGATAGGTATATATTTATAAGTGCTCAAAACAGTATGCAATGGTATTTTAAATAAAATTTAGCTATTTATTTGCTAGGGAATGGATGCAAAATATAGCTAATTATTTACTTATTGCTAGGGAATGAACCCAGAGCCCCACACATACAAACAACACAGTCTACTCTTAAGCTGTACCTCTAGGTCCCTTCTTTCATGTTCATGTCAAGTTTTTATAAGATCTTCACACTAAAATCTTGAGTTCTATGACTCCTGGTAGGTGTACCAGCTGTTGGGCGAATGTGATACAAATATCTGTAAAACTCCAGTGAAATCCGAGTCCAGCCTGTGGGCTGTGCCGATGTCAATTTTCTAATTTTGATTCAGTGCAATAGTGGCACAAGATGGGCTCAGAGAAACTGGTCGGAGAGTCTGTGCAAACTCCCAGTACTTTTTGTGATATGTTTTTCAAAACATGATGTTACAAAGAAGCACTTAAGAGACTAGGGCTGTAGTTCAGTGGTGTATGATGAGATGCTTGGTTCAGCCAACAATAAACCCCCAAACCAATTTAAGCATTTGAAAAGTATGTCAGACTTTGCCATTTCCCATTTCCCATTCTAATCTGATTACACTGTGTGTGCATGGGGGGGGCGGCGCGGGGGGACAGAAAGAGAGTTATTGGCCTTCTAAACATTGGTCTTTTCTTCAAGCAGGCTTTGAATCTTATTTCACAGGTAATACAGTAGACCGCTGTGATAAAATAAATAGAATATTAGAAATTTCCTCAAGCGGTGTGCATGTTTCACTGTCTATGAACCTGCTTTCTAGGTGCCCTCTAGCTGACTGAGGCACTGGGATGTTGGAAAAGCATGAGGGTTAGAGGAGATTTTACTTGGATCTGGTGCAAGTGAGCTCTTCTCAGTGAATGTTATCTAGAAGTGGCCTCAGGAGGTCTTAAGAACCCATCATGCAAAATTCTTTTTCATCTCCCAATGGATCTGGGTTCTTACTAATTTCATGACATCCACCTCTTTCCCCTTTTATATATGGCCTCTTATTCCTACTATACCTGTGAATTTCATGTTACAAATTGTAAAACTACTCAGAAAGTCAGGTAATGGTTTAATGCATATTCATTAGGGGTAAATCATATAAAGAAAAATATCCAAATTACTTACAGGCTGTAAAAGCATTTTTAGTAAGTTGTTTGGTAGAAATAATACTCATTTAATCCAACATTGCATACTAATTATTAAAACAAAGTTTAACAAGCTTTCTAAGACATTCTTGAATGTCACCCTAAACTGACTAACATGGTATCATACCTGAGCAATGATCTGCTCTCCGTCATTGTAAACTTTGGTGCCAATCACATCTACCACCTTCAGGCGTTCAGAAACCTACAAAGAAAATATAGTATTAGAAAGAAACAGACCATAATGGCTGTTCTGGGTTGTCAACTTGACTATATCTGGAATTAACTAAAACCCAATGGCTGAGTACACCTGTGAGGGTTTTTTTTTTTTCCTTAATTAAATCACCTGAAGTGGAAAGAGCCACCTTTAATCTGGGTCACACCTGCTACTACAGCCTATTCAGAGGTCAGCAGAGGAGGGCAGCTACCCCTCCCTTTGCCCGCTTGCTCTGGATTTCCCAGGAAGTCCGTTCCTTCCCTGGCATTACAGCCTAATTCTTCCGGACTCTGTTTGAAGTCCAGATGAGACATCCAGCCTCCTGGATTGAACAATTACTGGATTCTTAGATTCTTCATTAGTAGACAGCCATTGTTGGACTAGTGGTACCACAGCCTGTAAGCCATTCTAGTAAATCCCCATATACATATCTATGTGATATATA